ATCGGCTCATGACAACATAATGTGATTAGTTAATAAGGTCATGGTCATGGCACTTGATTATGTAATCCTAACTCTATGAATAAAAGTACAAGAAATGCATAGCAAAGTCAAAGATACAACATGGCACACACACACACACAATCATACTCACACATATCACCCAAACCTACAGTCGTCTTCAGACAGATCAACCTACGAGTACAGTCATCCTCGGACAGATAAACAGACACCTGCAGTGATCCTCAGGCTGATCAACCCACACTCACAGTCATCCAGAGAAGGCCAGCCCACACCTACTGTCATCGTCAGACAGATCAACACACACCTACGGTGATCTCCAGACAGAACAAACTACGCTCACAGTCATCCCCAGACAGATCAATCCACACCCACAGTCGTCCTTAAAATATCTACACACACACACACAGTGATCCTCAGACAGATCAGCTGACACCTACTGTCATCCTCAGACAGACCATCCCATACCCACGGTGATCTTCAGACACATCAAACTACGCTTACAGTCCTCCCCAGACAGATCAACACACCACACCAACAGTCGTCCTCAGAATATATTCATACACACAATGATCCTTAGACAGATCAGCCGACACCTACTGTAATCCTCAGGCAGATCAACCCACACCCACAGCGCTCATCGGACAGATCAACACACACCCAGTCGTCCTCAGAATATCTACATACACACACAGTGATCCTCAGACAGATCAGCCGACACCTACTGTCATCCTCAGACAGACTATCCCATACCCACGGCGATCCTCAGACAGATCAAACTACGCTTACAGTCCTCCCCAGACAGATCAACACACCACATCACATCCACAGCCGTCCTCAGAATATATTCATACACACAACGATCCTTAGACAGATCAGCCGACACCTACTGTAATCCTCAGGCAGATCAACCCACACCCACAGCGCTCATCGGACAGATCAACACACACCCAGTCGTCCTCAGAATATCTGCATACACACACAGTGATCTTCAGACAGATCAGCCGACACCTACTGTCATCCTCAGGCAGATCAACCCACACCCACAGTGCTCATCGGACAGATCAACCAGCACCCACAGTCATCCACAGACAGATCAACCCACGCTTACAGTCATCCTCAGACAGATCTAAACACACCTACAGTCATCTTCAGACAGATTAAAACATGAACAATTAGGTAACTGAGTATTGTTCTTCAAAGGTTATTTTTAATTTTCAATGAGTGGTCTCTCTTCTATTCAATGTAGATGTGTTATCGAGTAGTTAGTATACCTTTCCAGAAATTGTAGGTCCAGTATCCAAACTCCACGTGGCCCATGATATAGCGAAATATCCCCTTACTGCGGCATTCATTTCATCTGTTGTGCAGTCCAATAAATCTGCATCTCGAATCCACCATTCAGGTCCAAATATTCCAAGTATAATCCACACATACTTTGGCCCATATATTCCATGTTTGTAAGCCTGTAAACACAGTAAATGACTAGATATGTAGTTTGCGTAATGATTGGTTGACATATTCGGAATAACCCTTTTGCATATTAACTCTACCTTTTAATTATGATATGTGACAATTTGGTCGACTGTTCTAGTTTCCCGAGATCAAATATTTTGCAATATTTTAATCCGAAATGAGTATTATATAACGGTCTTTGATTTTCCATAAATGTCAATATTCAAAGTGTCACATCTATGCCTTTTCTAAATTGCCCCAATTAGGATTTCAACACATGTTACATCAGCATGTTTTCCATTAAATCTAATCTGTATTCTGGGTAAAATTTATAATTCAAACGAAAAGTAATTTACCACACAGCCGTTACAGTGCTTCATAGATAAAATGTTTGACCTTTCCGAATTCCTCTGTCATGCAAAACGCTTAACCTATCTGGTCGACATGATGTTGTTTGCACATGAATAATTTAACATTACGTTTATTTATATTAAAAAAAAATTCTATTTTATATATAGGGTATCACACAAGTTTACAAATGTCGTTTACTATGATAATGTGTTTAATTGATTTCATGACCGATTATCTCGCCACTTACACTTTTACTAGAATAAGAATGTAAGGGTGATGGAAAATTCGTTCTTTCCATCGCCTTTATTATATCACTGGCCTATGTAAGCAAAGTATTTGGAACAGTAGACGCTACGTCGTTGGTAAAAACGTATACAATATTACAGGGAATAGAAAGCACCAGTTGTTTATTCAAAATACACCAAAAAGAGACTGCAACGCGGTAGGCAAAAGTGAAGATAGGCGGAGAATCATATTGCTCGAGCTGAAATCGTGCGGATAAGACAGTGACTGCTACGTGACAACCATATTTTAAGTAGTATGGAGCAATGATATCCAACTGTGAATTTATTCGACTGAATGAGAGTCCCTGTAAATGTTATTATTAGTAAGTTATCATACAAAGTGTAACAGTAAAGATAGCGGCACGATACTAAGTTATACCGAACACGTTTTCAAGATTCGTTTGGAGTGATGCCGTGAAGAAATATGAGTAAATATTTAATTGATAGCGGTTGATTATCAAGCGTGATAGTTATGTCGAGACTGTTCTTAGAATTACCATGCTGAACGATTATGGATTCTATTTTGAAATGGAAATTGTATTCCAGACGTACACCGCACGTTATCCTATATCTGACATTATAATTGAAATTTACATGCTACTACATTCAAAGAGATGTTAGTAGGATACTTATATTGGCAATCATTTGTAAAAGATTGGTATAACAACAATTTGAAGTGTTCAGGATAAGTGAATTAGACTCCTGTGACTCCTTTGTGAAGCATTATTAACGGTTGTGATATCTTACAATTTTCTTGGTGTTGTGTGCATTTGTGCATGAGTATAGTATTACGTGAATTGTTTTGTTATTTAGAATTATTCCCGTGTCCGCCCACGTGGGATTGAAGCTGGAATTGTTGCTACTTGCCAAATTCTGCAGAATATTTCTGAAAAGCTTCCTAGACTTTCATGCCATTGAAAACATCATTACTTCACATATATAAAGAACTCTACCTATGTTTGGAAACGCAATCATTGAAATACTTGTAATATGCCAGGGTGACATTGTAGAAGCTTGGTTTGCTTTGTGACAGTACAACGGAAAATCTTTAGCGGTGAAGTCGTTGAAAAAGCAAGCACGACATCGACATGTTTCTTTAAGCAATTTTCACCACAAGCTTACTTAAATCCGATTTGGGTATGGGCTCACTTCACGTCTCACTTGACGATTGTAATTACAACGGTTGCCTTAGTTACACTAAGGATAGTGCTCCCTGATATGGAAAATGTATATTTCGAGAGTGTTTTTTATGTCAAAAACGTATAATTGACTACGACAGTAATGCACTACGCATCTAATACATATTTCATTTTGGAGTAAAACATATTATGAGTTGATGGCATTCACACTATCGTGTTCCTCATTTATTTAACAGTATATATCCTGTCATCATACCATTGCAAAGTAAAGTGACATATTAAAAGCTATAAAAAGCAGGCAACTTAATTTACAAAGTAGTTATCACAATGAATGCCGGTAATGTGGAAGGACCATACAACAATACACATAATTTGATACAATCAATGTAAGTACATTATTTGAAATAACGAACGTTTATTTCAATCTTACTGCATTGATAACCGTACCTCACAGAATATATTTGCTCCCATTTCCGGACTGAAAATGCCAATTATTATCCTGGCGTCTTTATTCTGAAAAAATACAAATGTTTTATTATTGCGTATATTTAACATTCATGTATCCGTGACCAAACTGACCAAACAAATTTTACATTCGAAATGTTCAAGCGCTTTACAAATCTGATATTTCAGTATACAAGACATGAATTTCCGGTTCAGTTTGACATCCTACATCGATATATATTTGACGGCCTTGACCACATTTATTGGAATCATGTATAATATAGACTGACACGAGCTTACCTTCAAATGAATAATCCGTTGTGCGGGGTCATCTGGTATCGACTCTATGCATGCAATTGTAATATTCGCATGGGAAACTCTTAGCAATAAATCGTGTATAGTCTACATGATTCAAAGATAACAATATTAATTCAATCATTTAACTGGAAAACGAAACACTATTGTTTAATATTAGTTAGGCAATAAGAAACAACGCACCATCCATTGTATGATAACGGGCAATGACAGAGATGTGCACAATAATGCACAAGACGCAATAACATTATTAAATACAATATGAGTTATTGTTTGCCCTCATGTCAACTGGTGGTTTCCCTAGGCCCGTGACAATAATTACCAACTGTCCACGTGTAGTGTATGTAAATTAATAATTTATAAGATGCAATAGATCATGTATGAATTCAAATAAAGCTAGCACGACTAAGCCGATTTACTCACTGATGTGTATGGTTCCGCTGGTTCATAAATTATTCCTATACGGTACCAGTTGAACGTTTTAATAAAAGCTAATATAGCTGCATTGAAACCGTCCATTGCGGGCAAGGTGCGAAAGTAATAAGGATACTTCACTCGGTTGGACAGCGACGGGGCTGAACCTGCATATGAAACCTAGTGGGAACAAAACAATATAACCAACAATGAAAATTGACAAGGATTTGTACAATGTACCATTACTAAGTACAGTTTGATTATTATGTGTAATGTTTCAAATAATGAACAATATTAGTACAACACATTATTAGATAGAAAAATAGAAGAAAGAAAGAAGTAGTTGTATAACCACGAATATTGAATGTAGCTCTGAGTAATTCAATATTATAGTTGTGATGCGTAGAAATTTGGAAAAGATAAAAAGAAAATGTTTGTATACGCGGAATGGCCAACAAATTGTACGACCGCAAAATAAGTTGTATATTTTTTTAAAACATTGATTGCTTTTATTTTTTTGGAAAATAAATTGTTTTACATACAATTTTTCACATGGATAAATTATATTTCATGCTTAATTTATTAACATCAGCTTGAAACATGTCAGCATTATATATTTAAGAACGACAGTTCCTCTTTATATTTGGTAATGCAAAATATGTATTACCGTATGTTTTACTAGTTTATATGAAATAATTGCTGTTTTTATTAAAGTGTAATTATTTTTCACACTTTAGGCCACCGATCCAAAAGTACACAACCATGACAACAAATAACAATTGTTTTAGGGGATATCAAAAATAAATCAATAAACATGAAAACTATCACATAAACTTTTTTCACATATGTACCGTTTCGTTTCTGGAATGCGTAGCAAGAGTAATCAATGTGTTGAGGTGGGCACTTCTCATATGTTCTGTAGGAGTGATGTATATGTTCGTCTTAATTGGTTATATAATGGGCATTTAAGAACAAAATGACACTCTTCCTCTTTTGTGTTTCAATTGAAGCTCAAACAATGTTTTCAACATATATCTGAAATTATTTTAGATTCAAAACAGTTTAAATCATTATTTTATATGTAAAACATTTATACGCTCCTGGTTCTTTTTCAAAAATATGAAGCCCATATTTAACAAATTCTAATATAGCGTCGGAAAAGTAGACTGTACTTCGGACCCGACTACGTCATTGTTGCACATAGCCAAATAGTCAGAAAACAATGGGTAGAACAATTTGAACATACCAACATAAAGTTCTGATAATCTATCTTGTAAATTAGAACCTAAATTATTAATAAATAATGAGAAAATTAGTGGATGGATTCTGTTTAATGTTACCTGCATATTACCTGCATATTTTATATACTCATTTAACCCATCTGGTGTTACGACGCATGACTTGAAAAGTTTTCCTTTCAGCACAAATTTACTATTTTATAAATAACAGATGGTGATCAATCCGATCAAAAGCGTTTACAAAGTCCATGTAAACACAGTGTTAAGAGACAACTGACAACTAATAAAAGTATTTTTAACAACGCTGTCCACAATGAACAGATTTTAGTAATTGATTGATATACCCTAGATTTTTTTTTTCATCTTCTCCACTTCCTTTGTTGTGTATGGGGACTATGACTGACCCAATCATGCCGAAAAAGACCCACGTTTAGTGTATGACCCACGTGTGCCAATAACATTTATTTATTTCTCAAGAGAAAGCGTTTTAAATGCGATAAATATGCCCAACTCTGTCATAGTAATACCGTAATCCCATTTTCCCACTTCGTAAGAACTGTAAATAATGTTTAAAAGATCAAGCATCTTCAAATTCTACGGAATTAACACTGTTGACAATGAATAGTTAAACTAATCATCATGGGTTATATTCGACGGTGACGGTCCTAACCTTTAATAATAAGTAGTGACCGCGTTTAACAATTTCGATTTTCCCTTATATTTGCTTCTCACTAATAGTGGACTAATAACTTGACCTTGTTTTTTGTTCCTATTAAGATAGATTAGTGACCTTATATTTCTGAATCGATTCAAAGCTTTATGTACAACCGTGTTTCTTGTTACGACACGCGACACGAACGCCCATGAGTAACAGTTTCCCTATCAGTAGATGCTGAAAATACGGAATTAAATTACACAAGGTATTGTCGATATTACCGCGGCCAAGCAAACAATAGAACCCAACAGATAGTTAATTTGTGTCGATATTATCGTGGCCGAGAAAAACATAGAACCCAACAAATAGTTCATTATTGCACTACACTACACTACACTTACACTACACTTACACTACACTACACTACACTACACTACACTACACTACATTACACTACACTACACTACAGGGTGATTAAGCATGTTGACTTAACACTATGATATGTTGATGAAAATGCTTGGCCTTGATGGAAAACATGGTTATTATTTTCTTGGCTCACCCAATTGCTTTGATACTTGATATGTAAATATACCTCCAATTTGGTAGTTTTGCCTATACAACACATATTTGTTGATAAATCAAAACTAACACCAAAGACCAATCGAATACTAGATTATGTTGCCATAGATACAATAATTACGAGGAATGACTTTCTACCTATAGTTCAACAAATTATTGATGGGTTCTAAAAAAACAGTTTACGTCTTGTCTTCCACACACATAATAACAGTTTACATTTTGCTACACAAGAATGATTTAATTTTTGTCACATCCAGACTCTGTTGTCATGAAAGTAGCAAATCTGAGCTGGACTTTCTATTCATAACTCAGAGAGTTGTGAATGGATGTTCACTCAAGGAATATTAAATAAAATTTTGTCACTTTGATCACATGTTGATCCGAATGCCATTGGAATAGCAACATTAAAGACTTTCTCCAACTTCAACGCAGCATATGACTTGCCAGTACCAATTTACACATTTCTAATTTGTCGAATAATTTGAAGGAAGTACCAGTGTGTCTACCAAACGCTCACTGAGTTAGACGGACTAATTTGAAGGGAGTACCAGTGTATCTACCAAACGCTCACTGAGTTAGACGGACTAATTTGAAGGAAGTACCAGTGTGTCTACCAAACGCTCACTGAGTTAGACGGACTAATTTGAAGGGAGTACCAGTGTGTCTACCAAACGCTCACTGAGTTAGACGGACTAATTTGAAGGGAGTACCAGTGTATCTACCAAACGCTCACTGAGTTAGACGGACTAATTTGAAGGGAGTACCAGTGTGTCTACCAAACGCTCACTGAGTTAGACGGACTGATTTGAAGGGAGTACCAGTGTATCTACCAAACGCTCACTGAGTTAGACGGACTGGTTTGAAGGGAGTACCAGTGTATCTACCAAACGCTCACTGAGTTAGACGGACTAATTTGAAGGGAGTACCAGTGTGTCTACCAAACGCTCACTGAGTTAGACGGACTAATTTGAAGGGAGTACCAGTGTATCTAACAAACGGTCACTGAGTTAGACGGACTGATTTGAAGGGAGTATCAATGAATCTACCAAACGGTCACTGAGTTAGACGCACAACTGGCTTGAAGCTTTTAACCCGGGGACAGTATAGTGCACATTATCAACAGAATTTGAAGCAGAATTCCCGTAGTTAGGGGGTAAACCAGTCTCAAATGTCTTGATAAATCATCCATGAATATTTGAATTAAAAATGAAGAATCATTCTCAAAATAAAATGTTGTTCCCATGACAACCAGATCTCCCAACACCTAATTAGTCAAGTAACGTGTAATATTTGTTGATCTGCTAATGAAATTCATTCCCGTAATTGCTGTTTGTATGATAACGAATGAAATTGCTTGGTCGAGAGTAACTCATGTTGAAAGTTTCACGAGAATCCATTCATACATTTTGAAGTTTTCAATCACATTAATTCTCAAAATTGTCGATCTATCAGATCTCTACTAAATTGAATGTGTCCGAATTAAAAATAACGATTTATATTGCCACTCTGGAGTTGCTTTACCTGTTACTTCTTCAATAGCGAAGGAAGAACGGTATCAACTTGTCAACTCCAAACGTTACACCTTGGCTAAAGATGTACAGTCGTAGACAAGGTACAAGGTTTGTTCTATACAAAATTCAGTGTAAGATATACAACAGGGGTTTACAAAATATGTGACCTAATGCAAAGTCGCTTCAAAAGTGACGTACAGTTAAGGTAGAGATGCAGGTTCGCGGGCACTTGGGAGTGGAATATTTTTTTTTGCTTTTTACTATCCAAACGGTCTTAGCTATATTTTGTAGAATTTTAAATAGTGAAACATACTCAAATGACGATTTTAAAATATAGATAACAGGTGCAAACATTCTCTCTTTTGAATGCTTAGCAAGATTTAGCAAGGCTGTATGTACATAAATAATAAAAAAGAAACATGGTGAAAAAAGTAATGACGGGATCTTCATATTATGCACTATATTTAACTTTTTACAAAACGATAATACATTTAAATTTGGAACTGTTACAGCCATTATAATTATGAGCATGAGCAAACTTCTTACTGAGTGAATGGTTATGCAAATTAGCAATTATCTCAGCTTCTTTTCAGTCCACATCCCATAACTTATAGCTCCCAGACGCTTTGACCTTTTGTTTTGACATTTTTACAAATGATTGACAATGTGTGTATCTTCAAAACGCCGTCGGGGCATTGTTTTTGGTTGAACAGTGTTACAACAATCGTACAGACAACTAGCATAGGTGTTAATTTATGCATAAACTTGAAGTAGTGAAATTTGAGCTGCTGCCCTGGAAAATTGACAACTGGTAGACAGTTTTCAAGACGGCAATTTCTTCATAGTAAACAGATGTACCCGTAACCAAATTTTGACAGAAAACAGAAGCATGGTTTAGAAGCTAATTTTTTAATATCAATTTTGACCAAAAAAGCACATTTTTGTGCATATTTCAAACTACAGTTTCCATAAAAAAATACTTACACAATTTTAAAATTCATACAATAAGCTTTCCGAAAAAATATAGTTTTGTGGACAAGGGAGGTGATCTTGGTTTCCTAATTAACTAATTAAAATACCTGTCAAGTAAACTGCATCTCTACCTTAAGCGTAACGGTTTAAAATCCGCACATGAATAAAACAGTTAAACATTAACGTCCGATGTGGCAACGACGAAATTAGAATCAAGTAGATTTG